GATCCCACGGCTCTCGAGCCGCTGCCTGATGCTCCGCCCAGCCTGGGGCAGGAGTGCCCCGTTCTCCTCTTCTCYGAGGCAGTGGCTGCCAGTAAACAGAAAAGCTGGTGTGTGTGAAGAGATGCAAAAGAAAAAGCCAGAAACATCAAGTAGATTATCATGAAATACAGGCTTCTCACACAGAAGCAGTAAAGGGAGGGATACAAAGTTCCCAAAATTCCCAGCTGGCAAAGAGTGAAGGGAAACACATTGTGCATGAAAGCCCCTATTGGATATAATACAGTATTTCCCCTATTGGATATAATACAGTATTTTATTACCTGGGGTATTTTTTTCCCCGACACAATCTGCTTCTCAAGGGAAATCCTTGCATTGGGTGCACACTAAGCTGTGGGTTGCCATCACTGTCACTCAGATGAAACCATAGGGCAAAATGAAGGCTGTTTTTATTGCACAAGTAACTCAAGTCATCTGTACTTGCTAAGCCCCCTCAGGACAGTCTAGTTTCAGTGGAAACATCTGTGAGCTAAATGATTAGGTTAGCAAGGCTAAGAATTGTTGACCTGTTCTCGTCTGAGGCAGAATCCACACAGCAAGCCCCAAAATACTCAGGTACAGGGTTTTGCTTTTGGAGAGAAGTCAAGTCGATGCAATTGGATGTCACAGCTGAACCATTTCCAATGGTTCTGCTGCTCCCAGACAGCAAGGCCCTATCCCTCCTCTCACCCAAATCCCTGCCGTTGTGGCCTGCCACTTCCCCTTTAAGGAGCACTTTAGATATTACACTTTAGGTATCACCCCTAACTGCCAGCTCAGGAGAAACCCGATCAGGACTGCTGCACACACCGGCCTTCCTGACCCTGTGCCCCTGTTCGACCATCAGGACAGCTATCGAAACTCAGGGAGGACTGTAAAATGCTGTTGATATCTCTACTGGTCTTTTACTGGAAATGAAACAACAAGAAAGAAAAAAAACAACAACAGAAAGTCAACAACCAACAGCTCCCCCYCCCCCCCATCCTGAAACTAATTCAGGGTTCAAACTGAGCTCAAGCACGTGCGGTTCCTTTTCTTAAACAAAACATCCCAGAGTTAAATACAGTAAATTTTAGAAGGACCTACATATATATTCCTGCCCAGGTACCATAGCCCTCAGGCTCCGTAACTAGTCTGCAATATTCTTCAGCTGGCAAAATGGAAAGCTGGCAGCCACCCCAGCTATTCAAACAAACCATTGTAATTAGAAGCTACTTGGGGCATCATGAACCAAAATATATGCTAATAAAAACATCATTAGCTAACTTGTGAAGAGACTGCTCTTAGGGGAGGCAATCTTCACTAGCAATAACACAATTGCAGTGGATTTAAGTCCTGAAGACCAGGGTAACAATCTAAGGGCTGATAGGGGTGGGCAAAAAAAAAAAAAAAGAGAGAGAGAGAGAGAGAGAGAGAGATGGAAAGATGGAAGAAAATTGACTTTTTGAAAAGAGTTGGGTTGAGAGAAGTGACACTGAAGGAACAAAGCAAACAAGCTAACTGGACAACACACCAACACAAGGAAAAGCTGAGGGATTTCTGAGGGATTTCTTATATTTTTGTGAAGTGAAGCTGCTGGTTTAAGGTTCTCCCTCCCCAGGAAGGTGAAGGGCGAGACGAAAGGCTCCCCCAGCTCCCCGTTTGTGGTCAAGGGCAGAGCATGTTCCCGGCACGGTGCCTGGCGAGCCGGGCGGGAGCCACGCRGGCTGCCCCACGGCGAGGCCCACAGGACACGCGCTCCACGGGAGCCCCTTGGCTCTCCCCTGCCCGCTGCGCCGCTGTCATCGCGCACGAGCTGCCTTTGCTCCTTGTTCCCTCCCAAGTGGAAATTCCAATTCTTTCCTGACTCTGGCTGCTTCCAGTGCTTCAAAAGAAAAGGTATCCTGATATCTATATGAACCAGGAGTTACCTGCTCTCCGTGACCAAGCTCTGATTGCCTCGCCTGAGTGTTAAGTTTGTTGAGGAATCCCAGGTATTACGACAAGTTTTATAACTTTTTATAACTATAGTTAGTTACAGTTTATACTTATATAGTTATTTAGTATGTATAGTATATAATACTATATATGTATTTATATATAGTTATAGTTTATAGTTATAAAATTTATAGTTATAAAACTGTGAGTTATAAAACTATATCACGAACCAACATTTCTGAAGGCTTCCCCAGTCGCAAATGGATTTTGAATGCAGATCTAGCACCTCAAGGGGGTGCCRAGCGCTACCAGCTCTTTCCCCTCTCACCTGTGCTTCCCGGTCACCCAGTACAGGACTTGTTTTCAGGAAGAGCCGCGTGAATTCCCACAGTTTTTCCCTCTTGACTAAGACAGCCAGAGCGCCCACTACTTCTCTCGCAGGGTTGTTTAAAGAAGGGTTTGTGACTCAGGCATTTCCGAAAGTGGCGGCAGACTCTGCTCTCAGCAGTGGTGGGTAAGAGCAGAGAGCGAAGCTCTGCCCCGAAAGCAGCAGACCAGGGTCTGCCTGGGAAGCAAATCTGAGCAGCACAGGAGCAGCAGCCAGGGAAACACCGAACACCCCGACACCAAAGCCCTGTGCTTGGCCTTGTGTTCRGGAAAGCAAAGGCTTTGAAAGGCAGGGCTTTGAAAGAGCAGAAATGCTAAATACAGTCATCAGCACAATAGACAATAAAAATGTCAAGGAAAAGGACAGATTTATCACTAGAACATGAATCTTCACAAAACCATCTGTTAAAAATAGCAACAGGTCTGAAGTGTTGTGTGGCTTGGAAGTTTTGGGTAATCATTGTTGCTCAGAAGACAACTAGAAAGAAATTAACAGTGACAGGAGTTTGATCTTGAATAGCAGATGAGAAAGAGCAATGTAAGGAGTCAGAATAAACACCTAGTATCCTTAGCTGTAAAATGGGAATATTTCTAGGCTGTCCCCTCATCCTGGGACACTGAGTTCCTTTGGTGAGTGCTCACACCCATCAACATTATTTACTTTTTCACCCCAGATTCCCAAGGCTTTAGTAAAGGATGAGGAATAAGTTGTGCAAATAGAGAAGAAAAAGATGGTCCCTGGTTTAAAGAGGCTACAGGATTATGCGTAAAAACTGTAACACGGTCTATCTGGAAGAGATGCACAGCAATTTAGCCGGGTTTGTGGCAGACACTGCTCGTCATCAGAGGATTAAAAAAAAAATGGAGTGCAGATGATGTTTAACTGAAGCATATTTTTGGAAAATAACTAGCTCAATCAGATCRAGAGGAAACATAAGGGACTGGATAGGAAGGATGAATTTTGTGTCCATGAGTCACAGATTTCCTGCTTCAAATACAGGATCTTTTAGCATCGTAAAATAAAACTTACTAATATGCACCCACTTCAAAAAGCTAGTGTACTTCACACGTTCTGAGATTCTCAAGACCATGTGAGAAACGTAATAGTTGTTATATCTAAATCTCAAGAACTGAGTTGTGTGTGTCAAAGAGCTAGTAGGAAAGCAGAAAACAGGGTGGGGGCAGAGATAGAAAGACTATAAGGAAGAAAACACAAACCATGGCAAAGAAAATGGACCCTTTGCTACCCATGACTCCACAGACACTTGCCATATTTAGTCAGTTAGCTCCAGATTATGCAGAAATGGARCAAACAAGATTCAGGGGAAGGGAGGATGCTGTACTTGAAATATGTTCTTAAAGATCCCTACTCCCATCATAAGTATCATATTGAATGGCTAAGAGTAAATGGATTTCATCAAGCACACTTCATATCGTCTTGCATATTGCAACAAGCACTTCCTGCACTTAAGTGCTGTTAACAGCAAAAATCTCTATTGCTCACAGTTCCCATGCAAGGTATGGGGAACACAGTAGGATGTAGGACCCACATTCCAGTAGAAATAAGCATCTATTTTTTTTTTCCCTATCCTAAAACAAGAGTAAAAGTTACCTTTTTTCTAACAGCAAGAACAGTTCAATTTCACAAGAAACTTTGAAAATACTTCAAAATAGGCACTGTGCATGGCTTTCTCCAYGTCTTTCTAATGTCCCAAGACAAATGGGGGCATATATTCACGGAACTCTACAGCCAGCCTATTATTGAATATTGCTGCCATTAAAACTATTTAAAAAAACATATATATSTGTGCCCATATTCAGTGCCCCAGTTTTGGGCAAGGCTGGAGTCGCCGCCTGCGTTCAGCCCAGCTGCCAGGCTGTCTACTAAACACATCGGGCTCCTTCCAACATGAATGAAAGCTGAAACACGTCAGACTGACGAAACAATAGGTGGAACGGCCCAACTCGTGGCTGTTTGCACACGAGCCAAGCTGTGCTGAGGGCAGGGCCTCATCCGATTCCCATGGCACGGCATCAGAATCACACAGAATCACAGAATGTTCAAGGTTGGAAGGGACCTCTAGAGATCATCTAGTCCAACCTTCCTGCTCCAGCAGGGACACCCAGAGCACGGGGCACAGGGTGGCATCCAGGCGGGTYTGGAAGATCTCCAGAGAAGGAGACTCCACAACCTCCCTGGGCAGCCTGTGCCAGGGCTYGGTCACRCTCACAGGAAAGAAGTTCCTCCTCACMTGGAGATGGAACTGCCYRTGTTTCAACTTACACCCATTTCCCCTTGTCCTGTCACTGGCCACCAATGAGAAGAGCTTGGTCCCTTCCTCCCTACATTCCCCCTTCATGARCTTATACATGTTGATCAGATCCCCTCTCAGTCTTCTCTTCTCCAAGCTGAACGGGCCCAATTCACTCAGTCTCTTCTCTCTTCATACGAGAGACGTTCCAGTCCCTTCACGAYCTCAGTCGCTCTCCGCTGGACCCTCTCTAGGAGCTCCATGTCCCTCAAGAAGACCAGAATCTGGTCAGAGGTGACATCCTCAGGTTGGGAGGGCGTGAAGAGGAAGTCGAAAGGCTCAGAGGGCTTCATGAGCCAACACGCTGCAGGAGACGCGGACAGCAAGAACACACTGCAAAATACTCACTCGCTCCTGACCAGCTGTATCCCAGATCAGAAATTTATGAAGCTCGTTCCCACAAGGCACAGTTTTAGTCATGAAGGATGCTCTGCAAAAGAAAAGTTACAGCCACATCTTTGTTTACTGATAATCCCAGATAGAGATGCAACAGAAATTCCTAAGACTAGCAGTGTTCTACTTATGCTACCTACYGACYTTATRCAGTTTTGCTGAGTTAAACTAGGGAAAAGGAAACCCTGAGCTCTTGATAAAAGCATCCTTAGCAGGTTAAGCACATAACACATAYACATTTATTTTTAAAATATGTTTATTTTTCAAAAAGCAGGGGAAAAAAAGATGGTTGTTCRTGCCCGGGCCCAGGAACACTAATGCTCCTGCCATTCACATGTATCTTCTGCTGCTCGTGAGCTCCATCTTCTCGGAGCCGCACACCTGGGAAAGGCAGCATCACACCATGGAATGAATGCTTTCATCTCTGCTAAACCTAGGAGACTGGGAACGTATCTAACTACCYATTAGTCTGCACCAGCCAAGGCACCTGCTGAAATGGTAAACAAATGGAAAAGACTTCACCCCTAAATGTAGAAATTTTATAGCCTCTTGGGTTTTTGTATTTATTTATCTATTTTGATTTGCCTGTGTTTCCCCCCTGTATTTTTCAAAAACTTTAGGGTAGAAAGTTAAAAATCTACAGGGTCTTTGTACATTACAGCATTTGAATTGAAAGCAGGTGGAGAGACACCCCTGGACTCTCCTACAAGCTTACAAAGATGCATTCAATACAATGCACTGTCATTACAAAAGAATCCAATTACACCAAATGACACAGAACTGATCAAAGCATTTCCTGGGGACATGCACCAGAGCTTCCCTCTCCAGTCATCTGCAAATTGTTCAAATTAAACAATGCTGCATTGCATTTAGAAATATCAAATAAGGCAAGAAGAGCAGTGTTTTCCTTGGTTGGTTTCTGGGTGTGTGCTTTTCAGCTGTCATGCTCCTTCTCGAAGTATTAAGCAACACTTCACAGCTTCAAAAACAGGAACTTCAGAGCATCAGCAGCGGTTATAGATTGCAAGGATCATATTTAATACATTTGGTTGTTTTGGAGAAAGAAAAGAAAAAAAGAACTTATGAACATAGTTGGCTTTTATGAACACCAGTGGGTAAACTAGCATTCACATTTCAATCCCCAAAAAGAAATATATTCCTCTGTTATCATGAGAAATAACATCTTTTTTCATGTGAGTGCAAGATACTGACTTAGTAACATGGGGGAAAACGGGTGAYGATGATTTAGAACTAAAGGATCACTCAAATTCTCATCAATTCCTTCACTGCAGACAAGCGTCCTTCAATCAGTAACACTTTTCACCATGCACTTCCATGCATTTAAAGGTAGAGGTTTGCAAGAAATCCTCTCACTCCCTGCACAACACATTCCAACAGTGCAAGTCCTCCACAGAAGATTTAAATCAGCTATAACACACAAGAAAGATCGACCCTTCCCATCCAAATTACTCCTTTGTAAACAATATATACCAGCTTCCTCCACCATATCAACTATTTTCAAAATTTTCCAGGTAATTACGTACTAGGGAGATTTGTTCCTAAAATGGTAAAAAGAAAAGATTTTGGAATTAAAGCTAGCTGCATGACTAACCGGCTCCTGATGGTCTATCACTCAGAAGCCTGGCAGTTTTATGAAAAGCAGGGTTGAATTAATTATATTTTGTTTAAATTGCATTATCCTGCCTTCTAAAGACAGGGACACGGTGACGCATTCCAAAGGCAGATGAAAACATAGCCACCTCTGGAAGCAGACACTGTTAAGATGCCAGCTGAGAATACCTGCAACTCAGAGCTGCTGGAAGCTACCTTTAATATTCCTCCAGCCATTACTTGGTAAGATATTTTGGTAACCATGTAAATCACAGGCAGTTTGGGTTGTTTCTTCAAGCTCCAAGCTTCAGATCCAGCATTTCACTGACTAACAGGAACTAAAGTGATGCAAAACCTAAGGTCCTATGACCTAGGCATCATCTCAAGTGGGAAGCTCTTGACGGATAAAAAGACACTGTGTGAATAAGAGATCAAGCTCTTTTTATATGATGAATGAAGAAAAATATGCTAAATTAAAAGGACAATAGCAATAATGGATTTCTAGGATTATTTAGGTTTTAGCAGYTTTCTTATTTTAGGGACAAAGGGAGAAGGTTATTTTTCTGTTTGAACTAAAGGAAATCCAAAACAGCTCTACATTTACTTCAGTGCAAATGAGCACACAGTTTGACCTCAAGTCTTTCTTCTGTGAAAACCAAAGGAATTGGTCTTCACCTAGMCCAATTGCCTAACTGCTGAGGTACCCAGAAAGGAAACATTCAGTGGGATACGTGCTGTTGTCACCCCGGGAGCCCCCGGCACATACAGTACTGACCTGTGCCAAGCGGGAAGCGAGCCAAGCAGCAGGAAGGCATGGCCCTGCACACCAAGGTAATACGGAGCGGTGAGCACAGCTCCAGAGGAGAGGGGCTTCTGGAGACACCAGAAAACCCCAGACACCCAAGAAAGACACCAGTCACCCCAGAAGAGAGAGGGCACGGCTGGGTCATCCTCTCTATCATACACTGCAGTAGGGCAGGCTGAGGGGTGCTCTGTGTTACCAGGCGCGGGAAGGCAGAGGAGACCGGGGCCACCCAGGGCACGCTGAGCGGCTGCGGGAGGCGAGGGGAATTACTGGAGTCTGAACGGTTAAAGAGAGATGATGAATTGCACAGAAAAAGACAACACGCAGTTACCCACAACCTTGAATTCATCAGGAAAAAAGACTTCAGCTGAAGACAACAGAATTAAAAGGAACATATAGAGGAAAAAAAAGAAAATACAATGCTGGGTACTTACCCAATGGTGGGACTAATATTGTGATCAAAGTGGTCCTGAACAAATCGACAGACTATGCTGGATTTCCCAACCCCAGTATCCTGGAAGCAAAGGAAAGCATGACAGTGAATTCAGGGGAGCACAATGCCAGTATTTCACTTAAGGAAATAGTCAAACGTTAATGTGTGAGGAAGTCTTATCCACAGGTGAGAGGAGCAGGTTAAGCATTTGAAAAGAAAAGGCAGTACCCGGACTATTTAACCGTCACCAACATCTCCCCGGCTCTCATCCCTACATTCCCTTCTGCTGAAGTCTTGTACATTCTGGGGTGCATTTTATGCTCCTGTTGCAAAGACTGCAGTGATTTGCCCATAGCCATTTACCCATGCAGGAAGAGGAGCACTGCACACATGGAAAATGAACACGTGGTACTTCACCCACGCAGCAAAGCTGTTGTCCAGAGAAACAACCTCAGCGAGACCGTTGCAAGGGTAACCCAAGTATCCCTCCAAAATAAAACGGCCAACCTTTCCATACGCTAGCTGTACAGACTTTGTGCATCTGATCCTTTCTAGGGCAAGACTAACAAGCAAGCTTGGAAGAAGCTTCACAGAGACTTTAACTGGTTTGGGTGAGGCAGGACACCCCGAGATGCACAAGTGTCCCTAGGCAGACTGCGCTACGGGGCCGTGGGAAACCAGTGTATTTCAATGCAGCACAAGTTGCTCGTTGCCCTGAAGTGGGGCAGCCGGCTTCTGTCTACAGTCCCCTAGTCCTTCCCCTCAACCASTACGGAAAAATAATACCAGTCCTAGAATCACATTCGGAATTGCTTCCGGAGGGAGGAGGGCAGCAGGGGAAGCCTGGTATTATTCAACAATGCTATTTTAAGCACTTAARATACGAACAGCTTCCCCAAGAACCCAGTGCTTCCCAGTTTCTCTCTGCTGTCCCATGAAGCCTCAATGTTAGGCAGAAAACATAAATTACTCGGRCACTTAGAAAGGAAAGAGAAAAGCAGCCATCGTTTCATCGCCCATAGAACTGCACAAGCCTCCTTGGAGACAAAAAGGATGCAAGCAAATCAATGGTGACCTTTCCAAGACATGAGCAATGACAAGCTGGGGCCCAAGTCATTAAAAAGTCATCGGAAACTTTTCCAGTAATCTCATCAGAATTCTTCGTGAGGACTATCTGTAAGCTCCATCGTATCCATCGTGGAAGACACTGAGCTGATCTACACAGATTTCTCCAAAGGTGGCAAGGCAAGAGCACATCTCGTTCATGGCACAGAATAACATAGGAAAAGAAGAAAAAGGAAAGCCTTTGCCCTTGCTGTAAACCATTCTGCAATCTTTAATCTTCTCAAATATGAAAGAAAAAGGCAGCACTTAACATCCCTCCTCCCTGTGCAAATGAATCTCTATCACCACTGCGAGTATTCTTTATGTACAACACATATTAGAAAATTGTCATTGAAATGCACTTAAATGTAATTTAAAGCAGTCCTTAGCCTGCTCCCAAGCCACAGTGAATGCTCAAGCCCCACTGACAGCTGTTTATCTACCGAGTTCAAGCAGTACACAAACATCAAAGAGAGCAGCATATTTCAAACCAGCCCAGTAGCCTTCGACGAAGAGCAGCAACACATCCTCTTGCCATTCCCAACTCTGGCCTCTTGCTATTCCAGCTGCCATCGCGGCACAACGACTAGACCAGATCAGCACCGCACATTTTTCTAAAAAASATCTCTGTGCTGATCCTGAGAACCTAATTCTGATTCCAGACTTAAACATTCTGGACAAAACCTGAAGTGTCACTCAACATATGAGAGAAATTCCATTTCCCTCTTGGGGAGTCACTGTTTCCTCCGTGGTTCTCCAAATTAGACATAGATCCCCCTATGATGAKGCTTTACTGCCATACACCTTTTTCTCCTCCTTTATAGGTCGCTAATAAGGGCAACTGCAATTAAATCTCTTTACCAAGAGGGAGGGTCTTGGTCTCTGCCAGGGATGTGACATCAAGTGCAGACTAAAGCAGAGTTCATTTTTAGGAAGCTCCTACATCTTCAGCTTTCAGGTCACGGCACTTATTAACGTTTCACGCTAACTCTTCATATCCAATTGCCTCAAAACTAATAAGGAACAGAGAATCACAGAATCACAGACTGGCTGAGGCTGGAAGGACCATCTAGAGCTCATCTAATCCAACCCCCCCGCTCCAGCAGGGACACCTGGTGGCATCCAGGTGGGTTTGGAAGATCTCCAGAGAAGGAGACTCCACAACCTCCCTGGGCAGCCTGTGCCAGGGCTCTGCCACCTCACAGGAAAGAAGTTCTTCCTCACATGGAGATGGAACTGCCTGTGTTTCTACTTTCACCCATTGCCCCTTGTCCTGTCACTGGCCACCACTGAGAATTTTGGCCCCTTCCTCCCTACATTCCCCCTTCAAGTATTTGTACATATTGATCAGAACTCCTCTTAATCTTCTCTTCTCCAGGCTGAACAGGCCCAGCTCACTTAGTCTTTCCTCATAAGATAGATGCTCCAGTCCTGTAATCACCTTTGTCGCTCTACATCGCGATGACTGCTTTGCTCCTTTTTCGTTAAGGAATTTTAATGAATTTGTCATGCCACATGTCTAGGTAACAGTCACACATACAGATGACATTCTTTAGTTCTTAAAGTTCTTCATTTCATCAGATTTTTTTTTGTGTTTTTTACTCTCTGTAGTCTGATTCTTCTGTTTCACCCATGGTAGTACATATGCAACATCCCAAATGTTGCATCCAGGACAAATATTCAGCTCCTGTAAAGGGCCACAGCAGTATCGAGATGAAAGGATTTTACAAGTTTCAGCAACTGAGAATAGGCACCCAAGGGTTCTGTGGTACTTTGAGGAACAGATCATGAACTTCTTCAGAAACACCCTTATCCATGGGAAATCCACAGGCTTCAGCACTATGCCAACTGATACATAAAAACTAAGAGAAAACYACTCAAAGAAAGGAAAAAGTATATAGTATTTTTTTCCAAATGAAGATGTTCTTCATATGTTTGCGTGAAGCAAAAGGTAGACGGAGTCATTTGTATCACCAGGAGAATATTCAGAGAAGTCATTCATGGGACCACTCTCCTTGCTTCTTCATAAGCCTTCGACGCCACTTGCAGAATATCAGTTATAAAGTGCTCTGTACCAAGCAAGAGGGCAGGGGGAGGAAGGAAAGCAATAGAAATGTCATAGCAAGAAATGAATTCTGGTTAAGTACATGAAAAGCTACCACAGCTTCAGAATCTTCCACTGGTTGGCAAAATGGATATGAATATTTAAAACAGATGTTCCTGATAAAAACAAGGAATCAATATGAGCATGAGCAGTTCTTTTCACCCTAGAAGGGCATCATCTACTCCTCCAAAATCCTTTATCCTTTAGATTTAGGTGTGAGGAGTTTAAGAATCCCAGGATGGAGAGCAGCACACCACAAAAACCAGCCTTCCCACCCACATTCCTACCCCATTTTGCTCTTTTCATCTCACAGCGCTGTAAAGATGAGACTACGTCTCAAGCCAGCAGAATTACAGGATACTGGCAACCAATTTGCAAGCAAACAATTCAGATGCTGATTTCTTCTGGTCAACTTGCAGCAGCATGGAGGAAGATCTAAGAAAAGACACAAGTTCAAATTGAACAATACAGAAAAAAACACAAAATAAAACATATTCTTATTACAAATAGGCAATTGTAATTCCTCTCTCTTCTCCATTGTTCCAAATGTCTGCAACTTGGTAAGAATAAAATAAAAAAATAAAACTAATGAAAGAAAACTTAGCTCTTTAGTTTAAATCTGGATGTCTCATTTCTACCTTTGCATAACTATAGGCCTCAGCACTTTTCTGAATCCAGTAGAACTATACGGCTCTGTAAACGCGTCCCTGATTAGGGTTTTATTATTTTGCCTGACTATTATAAGGGCTTTTAATGGATTTGGATGGGTCAAGCCCTAACACGTGAGCAAACTCAACTCTTCATGTAAATTTTATTTACATCCAAATTGGAGTAAATGTTAAAAAAAAMCACACACAAAAAATCAATGACTAAATGGCAGTCCTATCATTATGCATATTGCTGCAGCAGCTATTTTATTCTTGTCTATGTGGTATGTTTCTATGCTGTGTTAACAAGCAAGTCTTCTTTAATATATGTAAAACCAGATAAACTATGCAAAAATCCTTTTTTGACTCTAGGGCTTTGTGAATGCAAATAAAAGCAGAATGCCATACAGCATTTCACATGAGAAAGCAGCATGCTAAGAGCAAACACACTGAAGAAACTCCCTCCTGTCCTCCCACTTCCAAAGTAAAAAGAAAAAAGAACATCTGGCTTGTAATCACTACAGATCTCATGACTAACTTCCCAGTTCAGCTTTAAAACGGAGGTTGGATCCCCTGCTCATGAGTACCACGAAAATCTGTGTGCTGAAGGAGAGGTGATGTCTCTCTAAATCAACAGAAGGATAAAATACTTAGCTCCATTTGTAAGGATGGGACATCTGCTGTTGACTTAGACAGTGTCAGGAGGTGACCCACAGTATCTCAATCTGTATCAGTTTTTACAAAATTAAAAATATCTGTCCCTCCAAAGCATTTTTTGTAATCACTGGGATTCACTGCAGCATAAGCTACAGGCAGATGTCTCAYTTACACTGCCCGGCTTATAACATATGCTACTCATATATCACAAAAAGAATGACGACACCCTAATAATCTAGTGGGTATTAACTCTGAGCGTTCAGAAAAAGCAGACAGAGCACGTTACTTCCCAACAATAATATTAACAACATTTGAAAGGGATGATTCCTCAGCCGCTCTTTCTAAGCGAGAAACCTTCTCCAGGCCCCGCGTGGCTCCTGCCGACCCTCGYGCATCCCTGTCCCCCAGGGGCGGATCGCGCGGGGCCTTCCCGGCAGGTCCCCTGCTAATGCCCCTCTGTGCCAAGGCCTCCCAAGCAGTGGGGGGCCCGGCCCTGCCGCTGAGGGGCTGCGGGGGGGAGCGCGGCCGGGCTGGGCGAGCGGGGTCCCCTGCACGCGCCCCCTTGGCGGCTCCTGTCGCAAAGCCGCTCGCGCCCGTGAGGAGCCAGGCAGAGGGCAAGTCCACGCAAACACCCCAAGGCTTCCTCGGGTCACGCTGGTTCCACAGGTGCAGCGAATACTCACACGGGCCAGCCACAGCTGGCGTCAAATGTGCCCCACTGATGATGCCCACGAGGTGCTGCTGCCCTGGGTCACCACTCTACCGAGAGGGAAAAGAAAAAGGCCGTATCCAGCACCAGGGTACGGAGCAACACTCTCGTGGGAAAGGACCTGACCCCAGCTCAGCCAGGACATTGGCATTGAAATAAGGAACAATTCCTGGCTTTCAGGCACACGTCCGTGCCACTGGACAAACCTCTTGGCTGGCTCCTTACTAACTGAGAAGTAGCAGCGGAACCGGTTCATGCTCAAGATTTTCCAAGCTAACTTCTTGGCTGTGCCGCTGTGACTCCCGGCAGCAACGCGGTACATGGGAGGCAGCGGCCCTTGCCTTGCCAGGGGGCAGGACTTTCATCGGGGGAGTAACTACGACGTAGAGATGAAAACATTTCAATGGGGATGAAGTTGCCAAGAAAGAGAAAAACGTCCTCCACCTTCACGATGGGGTATTTTAAATGGAGAGGAAACAAAATAAAACCAAAAGCAGCCTTCAAAATCTCTGTGAGKGGTGGGCTGGCAATTCGGAAGAAGATGGGGATAGATTATACTTCAAGAGAAGAAAAACAATCTTTGGACGTGTTGGTCCTTAACTCAAAGGCAAGGTTYGAGTACAGCAATGCTACATCTTTTAACTTCCAACTGGAGGTAAAATACTAAGCAGCTATCCAAAAAACCAACACTACAAAGCTCTGGCACGTGCAGCCTGCTCTAGTCCTCTGTGCTCCCCATTTACATTTTAGTCATTACTCAGGCGATCAGATGCAGGCAGCACTGCAATATTTTCCATGTCTTACTAATCCAGTTCCAGCTGCTCTGCAAGGCTGGGGCAGGCAGCTAGAAGAGCATCTGAAACCGCCTTTGGATTTTTATCAACTGTATGAACATACAAGGAGAGTTATGCACCTCAGATCCTGGATCATAGTTTCCAAGGGCAGTATTTTAATCCAAGAATCATTCCGCCCTATAAACTGTTGCTAGCCTCAGACACGACCTTCCCTGTATTTGGGTATCACTTCTCTGAAGACTCTCCTATAAGGAGAAATAACGCCTTTCAGAGGGCCTGCTGGACAYTGCCCTGGGAACTCATCTGCACCCGCCAAGTGCCAGGCTTGTCCCAGCGAAAAGGCAGCTGCTCAYGGGGAGCGATGCCTAAGAAGTAAAAATACCTTCTCCCTGTATTCGTTTTTTCCATCTGTAGGATGTATCAAGTGAGCAAATCCCACCACTGCATAAGAACGGAGAGGAAAATACAAGAGGAGCTCTTCACGCGGGCAGTTTGGCTCTAGGCTGCTCCAGAGCAGCGCAGGCCGAGCTGCTCTGAGGCCACCTCTGCAGTCAACACGAAGCTCATGCAGGACAGAGAATTTTGGTTTTCTGGAATAACATAAATAACAAGAAAATGATAATTCCAGAATGCACAACATGATTATTAGTAGCAATCCTTGTTGCGGATGATTGAATCATCAGGAATCCTGATGATTCCTGATTGCCAAAAGGAGCCTGACTTTCAGCCCCATGGTGACTCTACCACCAAGTGAGCCTTCTCCCCRCCACTCCATCACCACCACCTCCAACCAGCCTCAGCCTTCATTCCTCAGCCCCAGTGCAGTGAGGGGGCTGTAAAGCCTGGCAACAGGGGCTCCCAAGGAGATGGGAGGTGGTCTCCTGCCASCTGCTGCACCGGCCTGCGGGACACGTGCTGGCAGAGCGAGCTCTGAAGCGAGGAACTGGAGCAGAGTTGGCCCCCAGGACCGTGGGTCTTATCAGGTACTTTCCTGAATGAAAGGCACTGCCCCGAAGGCACATAACCCTCCCATTTAATACTGGGACTCGGTTCCTCCGGATCCATGTATAAATGCGCTCATCTTGATGCAAATGTCTTCTTAGAGGGACACAATGATTAGTCTGCAGTTCCTCACTTCTTCCATTCAACAYGGCTCTTCTTCTGGTCAGCAGTCCACAAGGGCCGTATGAGAACAAGTCTGCGTTTGTTTGTCAAGCACCCTCTGCTAAGCTCATACTGTGTATCATTGGTATCTTTTAAATAGTTCATTATATCACTCCCATAAAATCAGGATGATCTGCGTCCAGTTTTCCCCATAGTAAACACTCTACAAGTCACTAGCGTAATTCCAGGTCAAAGATGACACTGTACAGTCTAAGCTGGCTACAGAACAAGGCTTTTTCCTCTGATATGCATTAAAATTAGGATAAACCCAATTCCCTGTGCAAGTAGGATGTGCATTCCTTGTTCTCAAAGACATTTTTTCTATGTCCAACCAGGTCAGTCTTTTTATATTACAAGCCAGCCTTCACTCCTTATGTTGCAAGGGCCGCATTTAGCACAGAAAACCAAAGCTC